TGGGATATTTATTAAAAACTTTTTAAAAAAAACAATATTTACATGTACAATCATTATTGTCAAAATGACTGGGTTTGGGAAAATGGTAATCGTCAAAGAGACTTTTTGAAATAACAAACTTATAAATAAATCAAAAATAGATCGACAAAATAGATATGTTTTAACAATTTCGATTGGGACCGTCCTTTTCCACCTTTACCCCGTTTACCATAATAAAATATTTGCCGTGAGTGTTTTTTAAAGAAAGTCCACCTTTCAGCCACTGTTTGTGCGTCCCCATATCACCCACTTTCCTTGTCCGTACTGTGTGGACGCGGATGTGGTTCACCCCCGCTTGCGGGGGGGGTCAGGGGGGATCCGCGCCAAGGGAGGACTTGGAAAGTGGGCGAAACAGTGCACAAACAGACCGTTTGAGTGCGTTATTATAAGCCTTCTTTTCAATGCTCCGTCTCACTCGAGGTAATTTTTCGGCATTTATTTAATTCGGGAACCATACCAAATATCATCCAAAACACCCATTTACTATAATTATAATTAAAATATTATTTAAAATAGTTAAAAAATTTGACTAATAAAACAAAAAAATAAACCAGATAAATCTATTAAATATAAAAGGTTTTTTAAAAAAATTAAATAAAAAAATATTTGTTTATTAAAAAAGACAATTTAAATGCTACTGCTAGAATGATTAACACTTTCACAACCCAAAACTTTTTTTAAGAAGAAAAATAAGTAAAAAGGAAATTGTCCAAATCAAATTTTATTATTTTTTATTCCAAAACCCCTTTCTAACCCAAACCGGCCAATAGTCAGTTTTATTTTACTTAAAATAACTAACAAATGAGAACTCAATTACTTAAGATTGATCAAAAATAATCTTTTTGGATGAAATTTCATATCGCTTTATCGTGTTACAACATTAAAACAAAAAACGCTACATTGTCAATCCACTTAATAACAAACAATGTAAAATAGTCACATTAATAAATATAACTACTTTAAATACACTATTTACGTTATAATCAAATGACAATATTCTCTTTATAAAAAAAACAACCAAATATATCAAACCATCATTAGATACCATCTTTCTTTTTTAAGCTTTGCTCTTGTTTAACACAAACAAACTCATTCATGTTTATTTGTGTGACTATAAAATATACAATTCAAATTTGAGTTGATAAAAAAATAAATAAAAATAAATAAAAATAAATAAAAATAAATAAAAATAAATAAAAATAAATAAAAATAAATAAAAATAAATAAAAATTTGTTTTGTGTATGAAGGCAAAAAAGGGTTTAGGTAACAGAAAAAAATAAAAACTTATTATTATTACGTTTCTGTCTTGAACGTGTTAAAGGATTGTTTTTTTTGAAAAATTGGTGTCAGTACATCAATAGAAAATGTTAAAAAAATCGAAATATCAATACAAAAACTTTGAATTTACCAGAGACACTCAAAAAGTAGAAAAAATGTCCGTGATTGGAGTGTATTATTGTAAACATGATAATCGAAATGAGAGAATTTTAACAATTCTGTAACATATCAGCTTATGATTACTATTTAAAAAAATCATATAAAACAACATAATTTGGTTGGAATAAGCTATTATATGGGTTTGGCACAAGGAGTCTGTAAGAGAAATGGATTTAAAAGTGAATGATTATGTGGAGAATTTGCTTCTGTTCATCTCCAAAATTACACAACAGAAATTGAACACCTAAATGATGTCATTGCACAATTTAAAGATAAAAAATTGTAATATAAATGGAACAGGTCTTTATTATAAAGCTTTACAGACGACAACTATGACTAAACGTGAAAAAATTGGAACCAAGAAAAAAAAGACGAAATGAGCGTAATGGTTTGCTGCTTGTGCATCAGAGAAAATCGACCTTTACTATCCATACATTTTTGATAAAATTT